TTGGGCTGCAAAACCACGTAATAGGCCTTCCTTTAAACATATTGAAATTCATCTCGGTATTGCAGCGGTTGAAGTACTATGTACTAAACCTGATGATTATTTTAAGACGCAGGTAAAAATTTTGGAATAATAATTTTTAATTTGTTTAATTTTTCTTTTCTTTAAATTATTTAAAATATTATTTAAAATATAATCAATATTTTTATTTTTATTACAGCAATCTTGGAAAAAAGAAATTAGGGATCATATGAAACAAATGCAGACAAATAGTTGTAGCAGTCCAAGATTTGAAGCTGATCTCATTCGACGACGTGAGGATGAATTAAGACATGCTCAAGACATTCGAGAACACTATGAACGCAAACTTGAACGCACTAACAATTTATATTTAGAATTAAGTGCTGTTTTATTGCAATTAGAACAACGTGAACGAGATGTAATTAAGTAAGTAATAAATTTATATTGGAATATTTGTATTGATAATAAATAATGAATATATTTTATTTCTTAGACGAGAACAACAAAATGGATATAAGCAATGTAAGAAACGACTTGTACATCCTCTTTTAAAAGCTCAAGAAAGACTTCATCGTAGACGTAATCCTCAATTTTCAACATCATCTACTCCAACAACTCCACCATCTCCAACAGATTGTCCACAAAGTCCTATAAAAGCAACTATGTATACACAACTAAATGAATCTAATCAACCAGAAACAATTTTAGCCCCTAATAATAGTTTTAAACAACGCAAATATAGGCATCGCAGAGTAGGATCTGGTTGTGGTGTAAACTCTAGTCCACGATCAAGTCCTCATCGTGAAAGAAAAGTATGTATTTAATTTGAGAATATATATTTGTTATTCAATAAAAATGTAGCACTGAATGTTTTGTATCTTTGTTTTCAGAGCACAGAGGTATGTGCACGTTTTGTTGACAATCAAACACAAACAGATATAATGGATATTAATGAAACTGATTTTAATCCTGTTGAACATACAACAATTCCATCAATAGAAAAGATTTCTGTAAATAGTCTTAATAAACAATCATTAAATAAAGCAGCAGAGTGTTTAAATGGAAATTCAGTTTTATCCGAAGCTCATTATAGAATAGAATCTAGTCCATGTTCCAGTCCTGAACCTTCAAACGAAAATCGTACAAATGGAAATGAACGTTTAAAGGACTGTAGCGATGATGATAATCTAGAAACGCTTGGCCGAAAAGTTAGTGAAATTATTAATGCTAATCGTCTTATTTCTTCTATAGATAATGGAAATTGTGATGATATAATACAACACAGGTAAAATATTTAATATATATATTTAAAAGTATAAAATTAATAAAAAAGTTTAAAAAATATAAAATTTAATAATAATAATTATTAGAAATAACAAATAATTTCTTTTAGAAATAAAGAAGAATCTATAAAGTTACCTGGACATTTTTGTGGAATAATTATTAACAATACACCACAAGAACAATCAGAAAGTAAAACTCGATCTTGTTCTGAAAGTATAGATACTTTGTGTGATCGTGAAGATGATGCATGTGAAGAAAGTTGGTCAGATGAAGAGGGCGAAGATCCAAGTTATACATATAATTATTCTCTTAGACGAAGAAGGTATTCTTTTAATATAATGTGAAAGCATCAAATTAATTTATATTCTAATTTAATGAATTTATTTTATAGTATTGCAAGAAGACCAATTGGTCCTGGATGTAGATTAAGAAGATTTAAACATGCAACAGTACGAATAGAAGGAGTATTAGCTTCTGATGAAGAAAATACTTCTGAATATTCACATCCTCCGTCCAGTCAATCCTCCACATTAGAAAGTAATCCCGATATGCAAAGAGTATTTCGTAATATTCACTATTCTCATAAGGTAAGTTAAAATAAATATTATTATTTGTAATTTTTATATAAGATATAATAAATTATATTTTTATTTTTATTTAGAGAAAAGAAATAGATGATGTTTCTGATACATCAAGTCAATCAGAAACAGATGAAGTCAGTGAGATTACAATTGCATCTCAACCAGTAGATGCAAATTTAAAAATAGAAAGTAGTGTATAAATTAACAAATTTTTTATATTTCATTTTCGAGTGATATATTACAGTACCTAACAGTCAGTGCATTTTTGTAATGTATGTTTTCATCCTGTGTTAAATATTGTAGATATTTATCAATTTAAGATATGTTAGATATATGTACATTAATTTTGCATTATACATTATTATTAATGAAATATTAGATGCAATGCATTATTTATCAATGAAATATTAGATTAATATTATCGAAATATTGAATAGTTACTGAAAAAAATTTGAAAACACATTCTAAAACAAAAGAACATTCTAAAAGAATTTTTTTTTTTGAAGTTTATTATCCAAATTTAATAATTGAATTAATTTAATGAAAATATATTTTCTATCATTATTTATGATATAAATTATTCTACAGAAAGATGGACATTTAAATCAATAACTATTTTTTCTAGGAAAAATATTAAGATATAGATTTATGATATTTTCAGTAGAAATTAAAATTTATAAAAACATGTTTAATGACATGTTATTATATAGTATTATTTGTAAATATATGCACCTCATGCTTTCATACGAAAAAGAAAAAATTAACACTTAAAATATTCATTCCATTATGTTTCACTTTGTTTTATAGTTCCTTTTAGTAAATATAAAATTTTCACCTAAATATGAGTTTATTATCAATGATAGCATTTATTTCATATATTAATAAAAATTATTCAATTAATGAATCAATCATTCCACAATGAATGCAATAATTGTATTCATTTATATTTATAAAGAAACTCTACAGTAATGTAGGACCAATTAAAAAAAAATAATAAACTCATATATTATACAATAGTTTGAAAAGAAGTTTTATATAGAAATACAATAAAGTCATAAAATAATAAATGTTGTATTAGAAAAACATAATTTCAAAAATGATTTAAAAAATATGTAATGGAATGACAATTATTAAATAAATGTTACAACATAAGTGCCTATGGCAATTTTCATAAAATATACCAAATAGTGATTATTAAAGTAAAATAACAAAATTTAATTGTCATGTGCAATATGAAATAATTAAGCTTGTAATTGGAAATAGAATTACATCAGTACAATAATTTTTCAACTCAACAAATATTCTGATACAATTAAACTATAAATAACGTGAGGTATTGCATTAAAATTTTATTGCAATAAAGTCATTAAATATTTTTGATGCACTAAAACTTTTACCAATAATCTTATTATAAAATATATTAATGTACTACATGTCACAAATTTTATTGTTTCATTTCTTAATTAATAAATGGAAACAATCTAATTTAATGACTATGTTTAAAAAAATTAATATAAGTAATATTATAATGTAGTCAAACAAACAATGCAGGTTGTCTGAGTTTCAAACTGAAACTCTTAATAGTATTGGACTGTATGTAAAAGTCATACTCATTCTTTTAAATGAATAACAATAAGTATATAGTATTTACATGCAAAACTAAAATATGTTAACTCAATTGTCCAAAGTACTGTTCTGCATCCATCTATTGTACCTGCTTTGAAACTCAAATTGCCTTAATGACAATTATTATACATTGTACATATAGACAATACAATATATGAACTTAAAAAAATAGCAGCTAAGATATAACATTATATATCTAACACGTGCTCATTGGACGAAGTAATTAATAAGATATACAAAGATGTACTTTATAATAATCATATATATTATATCTATTATATTTATGCGAGTAGTTGCATAAATTGTTCCTTCTTGTGCAGTGGCAGCTAAACTGATTAGTTCTATTATTCCTTAATAATAAATGCGATACACAAAATTTGTGTTATAAATAAATAAAGTTGATTTACAATAATAATTGATTTACAATAATAAAATGTTTAATTAATAAAATAATAAAAATCTTAAGAGCATGATATAAGTTATTCAATAATTTTGTTAAAATAAAATAAAAGTTCTTTTATATAAGATAGAAAGTGTTAATTATTTATATTCATTAACGTTTGAAAATGAAATATATTATTTAAAATTTTCATTTAATTAAAAAATTAACATATATAAAGAAAAATAAAAATATATAATATGATTTTACTTCATATATAAATATATTAACTTATTAAAATATAAATATTTCCACAGCCTATCTTTAATAATAAAATATACACATTATTATTATTATTATTATAATTATTTAATATTATTATATTAAATATATATTATAATTATTACTATAATATAATATTGTAAAAAGATCTTATAAGCAAGAAAAATTGCTATAAATACATAAAAATAATGAAACATTTTGAATAGTTTCCACTTACAATAATTTATATATGTTATAATATACATAATATATACTATAAATAATTATTTATTATTAATATTAATTAAAATATATACCTTAATTTGAAATTAATTCTTATTTCTACAGTGTTAATGCAGTTTTATATTTAGCACAGAACATTTATGTGAGTAAATTTTGTTCATATTTATCGAATTAGTTATAATTTTTTTTATTCTATTATTGAACATGTAAAAGTTTTCAAGTAATCTTTTAAAATATTGTAATTTTTAAACATTTTTATCATTTTTCTTTCAATTATAACTTTTATTACATTACATATGTACAGTTTAATTAAAAACAAACAATAAATATAGGCATTAAAGATTTACTATTATTATCAAGTGTAGTAAAAACTAAATTTATTTATGCTTTTAATGTATATTTAATCTATTTTAATAGATATAACAAATATTATACAATACTAAATATAATGAAAGATAAACTTGACATAATAATAAAATAAATAAAAGTTAAAAAATATCAAATTATCAGATCAATGATTAAAGTTGCTTAATATAAATTTAATAGAAACATTTTTGCATAAAGTTATAGTTTCAAATATTTTCTAGTTTTATTAAATTGTTCATTGATAATAGAATAAAAAATAATATTTATTGTACTAGAGCTTATAAATTTACCAATAAAATGAATTGTGCAGAAATTCAGCAGTGGATTTGTACAATGATGATGCACTTTGTCTTAATCCAGTAAGTAATGATACAACTCCCTCTTTTTCATTTTCTTGCTCATCTTCTTCAGGTAAATAATCTGGCATATCTTCAGTATCACCATTATTTCCTGTATGAATCTTTAAGTAATATATTTTATTAATAAAATATTCTTAATAAACTTCATAATCTTAAAATTTAGAAAAACCATTATGGATTTACCAATTTAACAAGATATTCTTGATTGTATTTATTTCTTGTTACTAATCTTGCTTCCATATTCTCTGAATTTTTTTGTATAGCTTCTGCAATTTGTTTTGCAGTAACATAACTTAAAGTACGCATTGTAACACGTTGATGTTCTACATCAACTACAAGAGAAACTAATCCATTGATTCTTATTAATATTCCTTCTAATTCTGCACGAGTTTCCTATTTCACATATAATTCACATGAATATTAAATTTATAAAAATAGTAATTACGTAAAATTAATACATATATATTATTTAAATATACCGGTAATAAACCTTGAATGTGTAATACTATTACATGAGTTTTTAGTTTTTTAGGCTCTATAACTCTTCGACATCTGCTGCGTAAATTATATATTGGTGGTTTCATTCTTTCTATATCATCTTTTATACATTGTGCTCGTTTAGATATCTTTGGTTCATCTATATTATATTTATTTATAATTGCATCTAAAGCTTCACGAACTCCAAAAGTAGAGGTTATATGTACATAGTTATCCACATTTTTGACAAATAATTCCAAAATATCTAAACTCAAATTAATAATTTCAAAATCTGGTACTTCTAAAACGTATGCTACATATGACAAAACTGTTTTATCCTGGAATCATAAATTGTTAATAAAAAGAATTAAATATAAATAAATTTGAAAATATTACCTTTAAAATTGTGTCATGGTTTGCAAAATCATTTGCCAATTTTTTGTATGTTTCAAGGGTAACTTTTAATTCTTTTGGATCCAGAGATTCACCCACGTCCATTATCTAAAATTGTAATGTTGATAATAACTTATTTTTATATTAATACTATAAAAACAATAAGAAATATTTTTTTATTATTACTTATAATTATCTGATTGTATTAACATTGATAGATATAAAAATTAAAAGAATCTGTCAATATTTTTATTTTTTTAAACGATTAATAACTGTAACATGAGCTATACGATAGTGAAATACATTTATGATTTAACTGATATGACAAATTTCAGAGGATAAATTTAAAATTCTTTATTAGGTTAAACTTTATACATTTACAATTAAATTATACTCTACATAATATTAAATAAGAAATAATTTAATTTTTATTATTATATAAAATTGTATTATTTTTAAAAATACAAGAATAGCATAACATCAAAATTTAAATATAATTTTTATATAAAAAATATATATTTTTCATAATAATAAAGTTGCTTTTTAGAAAAATATATGTATATCTATATATATGCATACACTTAATGTATATTTAAATTTTGTATATAAACACATATATACACAAGTTGTGTGACATAATCATATATGTGTATAAATACACATAATACACATATATATTTTGATGTATCAGTTTTACTTCATGTAGTAATAACACTGGTAAGTCATGTTACAACCAGCTGCTGCCAGATTATTTCGATGACGCGCATATTGTTGAACAGTAGCGAACCTAGTGTTTGTATAACGTACTAAAATAAGATGGCTGACATTCACTCTACCAGCTACCAACAGCATAACACCCGTATTAATTCTCTAATGAATTTCTTCCTTATTTTACGTAAACAAATATCTTAAATACTCCATCCATTAGTGTTATACTAAGTACTGGTAGAAAGAAATTGATGTAGTATACGATATTGAACGCATATTGAAGATAATAGAAAAGTTAAATTAAACAGTACGTAAAGTAAAAACATACATCTGACGTATTTTTAAATATACATGTAAAAGTGATTATTCGTTAAGAGTAATAGTGTAAAGTGTATATTGATTGTTAAAACAATGGAATACGTACTGATAAAAGACATACGGCCGGGACAGAAAAACATTAATGTAGTGTTTATTGTTCTGGAAGTTGGTCATCCTACTATTACCAAAGAAAACCGCGAAGTTCGAACATTTAAAGTAGCAGATGGTACAGCATGTATGAATGTTTCAATTTGGGACGAGCCAGGACAGCTTCTTGTACCAGGTGATATTGTAAGATTGACAAAAGGTTATGCATCCGTTTGGAGACAATGTTTAACATTATATTCAGGAAAAAATGGAGATATACAAAAAATTGGAGAATTCTGTATGGTAATAAATGAACAATTGAATATGAGTGAACCAAATCCTGCTTTAGCACAACAAATGATTAATCAAAGTGGATCTGGTCCACCTGGTAGTAATAACAATAGTATTACAAATAATGGAAATGCAAATAATATTGCTGGTCAACCTGCAAGACAACCATTAGTATGTTATTGTCAAATAAACTTGTATTTTTTAATCAAATATCTATTTATTATTTATTAAACAAATAAAACCCACATATATATAATAAAATATTTACATATATTAAAATAGAAAAATATTTACATATAATTAGAATATGAAATTAGAAAATAAAAAAATATTGCTAGCAATAAATTTATTAATAACAAATAATAATAAATAATAAATGAATATAATATATATGCTTTTAATATTTTTTGTTAATATTAATATTAATTTATTTTATTATAGGCAATTCAAAGTAATTCAACTACACCTACTAGTGGTACATCTGGTAGTTCTACAACAAAAAGTGGAAATAGTAATAATGGAAATAATAATGGAAATAATAGTAATACTTCAGGACTTCCAGGAGGATCTGCAAGATATTCTGGTGATTCAACAGCAAAAACAACTGTTACAACAAAAACTAATTCTCGTGGTCGTGGGGGATACAGAAATGGTGGACGCAGTGACCGTAGATAACATATAAATAAGAAACGTTTTATTATATATGTGTAATAAAAATATGCGATTATATTTAGGTCAACTGTAATATACTGTAATGTTTTTCTAACAATTCTGTATATGCATATTCATGAATTAATGTATACGATAAATCTCGTTAGAATATATCTTCATGAATTGAAGACAATCCAATTTAATAGAATAAGTAACAAATAATATCATCAATGATATTTTAATATTTTATTTAATTATTTTTTATTTATATAATTAAATTCTTTATATTTTATAAATTTCCTTATAATTTGGAGCTTGTCTTCAAGTCATATTAGAGATATCAAATTTCTCTTATGCTAATAAATGAATGTAATATATATAGAGTATATAATCTGCATTTAGTAAAAAATGCGTTTAGTAATAAATAATTTTATTTAGTAATTTTTTAAAATATATTTTATAAGATAAAAAAATAATTATATATTATATATTATATATTTAATTTACACTGAGTAAATAAGAATGAAATAATTTTCAAAAAAATTATAAGTTTTAAAACATTTTTTAATATATATATTTGTATGAATTTTTTATTTGATGTTATAAAAAACTCATATAAAAATATATTTTAAAATAAAAATAAATCAATTTTTTATATTTTTATTAAAAATATTAAATAAAGAATTTAATATTATTTATATTCATAACTTAATATAATACATCTATTTTGTAATTTAATATAATATAATATTTCATTTATGTTAATATATAAAATAAAAACTGATTTAAATTTTTTAGTAAAAAAATGTATCACGCATAAATTTTAATTATTTAATTGTAAAATTATGTTAAGTATTTGTGTTTATTTTGAAATCAATAATTTTAAAAAAACTTAATCAAAGAATTTATATATAATTTTTTTTTATAAATAAATTTAAAACTAATAAGAAAATTTCTGAGATAATATTTATCAAATTGTAGTATACATATTTTTGTTTTTCAATAATAATATTTAGGTTATGTTTATACATGGCTTAACGCTTATATCGTATGTCACATCGAAGTAAGTGATAACGATATGTATTTTAATTTTTATTTTCTTTTAAGTGTTCTTGTTGTAATTTTGAATACAGCATAAATTTGCATAATGAATGCAAAAATTTTGTCTACATTAGTATATGATTAGTTTTATTATTAAATATATAATTTGATAACAGATGTCTAATATTAAACATATAACAATTTATGACTATTTTTTATGTATTTAAAGAATTATAATACGGTACGTTTAACATATTTATTACAATATTTAATTATATTTTACTACATTGCATAATATTCATAATTTATAAATTTTTATAAATTTTAAAAATGTTGATTTAAATTAAGAAAAATAAAAAGAAGAAATAAAAATAATATTTTGTAAATTAAAAAAATTATTTAATAATTATTTATTTCACATATTTATGTTATGTAGTAAACAAATTTATTTTTGTATTTTTAAAAATAATGTATGATAATATTTATAATATTATATTTAATATTGTAAAAATTTATATTTACAGATTATATTTATTTCAAAATATGACAAGATCACATATAAAATATCAAATTGCAAAAGATGCAGATGATACATCAGATTATTTTCTTCAACCAGTCCAAGAAATTTCAAATATATCTAAAAAGGAGATATCTCTTTGGAAAAAAAATTTTTCGAACTATTATATTAATTTTTTGTTATTTTATCTTATCTGTAGGTTTAACATTTTATGTACAATGGCTTTATAATACATACGTAAGTGAAAAATTTTATAATTTATAAAAATTTATTATCTAATTTAATTTTGCATATGTAATTATTTTTTAGGGATTTCATTTTCCACTTACTGTGGTAATATGTCATTTATTATTAAAATTTTTGTTATCTGCTTTAATAAGATGCATTAAAGCATGTTGGAAGAAACAACAGCAATTAAAACTTCCTTTACAAAGCATAATAGGAATGGTTATGCCAGTTGGCATAGCTAGTGGTCTTGATGTTGGTTTATCAAACTGGGCAATTTCACTAATTACTATGTCATTGTATGTATTTATTATTTTACATTAAGAATATGATAAAAATATGATAAAATATGATAATGTTAATGAAATATATGATTTAGATATACAATGACAAAATCAACTACTATCATTTTTATTCTTGGATTTGCACTTTTTTTGAGATTAGAGAAAAAGGTAATTACAATAATTTTTTATATGAATATTATAAATATAAAATATACATATATAATAATTTTGTTATAGTCTTGGTCATTATCATGTATTGTAGTAATGATATCAGGAGGCTTATTTATGTTTACTTATAAATCAACACAATTTGAAATTTTCGGATTTGTAATTTGTCTCTTAGCATCATTTTCAAGTGGTATTCGATGGACTATGACACAATTAATTATGCAAAAATCTAAATTTGGAATGAAAAATCCAATTGATATGATGTACTATATGCAATTGTGGATGTTATTACCTATTGTACCAGTAATGATGTGGTTTGAAGGTATTTACACAATACACATAACTATTTTTTTTTAATTATTTTATATTGTATTTAAAAATCATATTAATTTATCTTTAAGAAAAAAATATTATTTTTAGGACCTCGTTTGTATAATAATTTTAAAAATACTGATTGGAACAATATTCATACTATTGCAATGACTGTAACTGCTATATTTGGAAGTGCTATTATAGCTTTCCATATGGAAATTATGGAATTTTTAGTTGTTACATATACTTCTAGTCTTACACTTTCAATTACTGGCATAATTAAAGTAAGTTAAAAAATACACAGTGTGTGTGTGCGCGCGCGTGCGCGTGTGTGTGTGTAATTTACTTATATATGATAATAATTTATATAAAAATCTTTCATTTTTTAGGAAATATGTATTTTGATCTTAGCTGTGGAATGGAAAGGTGATCAAATGAGCGGTCTTAATTTTATAGGATTATTAATGTGCCTTTGTGGAATCATAATTCATACTATCCAAAAAATATTATCAAATAGAAACAAAATAGCTGAAAATTTGGAATTACAAGTAAATTCTCTTTCAAGTAACAATTTAAAAAATGAAGATGGTATTGATACAAATTTACCTTTATTAACTCAAAAATCAACATCATTAACAAATCTTTTAAATGCAGAATTTAGTTCAGATGAAGATGATACATTTAAACATGGTGAGAATTCTACTCAAGTATTATCTAATATATTGCAACGTAGGGAACAGTAA